TTTAATCGCATGGAACTAACTGAATGTCAATGTCAATATTATGTGAGCCATTTGCGATCGAAAAAAAAACCACACTTTCGTTATCTTTGACTCACTAAAACATTGAATGTTTTCCGAAGCCTGCAAAGTATGTAAACTTGTCGTCTCGCCGACAAAAGAACGCAACTCATTCGAACGTTGCAAAATTTAACTCAAACAATAGAATTTTTCACAAAAACGTACCTTCGCAATTTTTGTCCAAAATTTGTGTAATTTTTGTACGAGATCAGAGAAAAAGTTGGTGAAATTTTTAGATGGAAATTTCCAGATTCTCCTGGTAAAAATGCAATTTGCGAGGGAAAATTTGGCAACGTGAAATTTAGTTACGTTCTTTCGTGGGGGAAACGACCAGCTACTCTACCGCGCTGAGGAAAAACGCCGTATGAACATTCGAGAGTTGCCAAATTTCCTCCAATTAAATGTTAATTTTTGAGGAGGGTTATAAATATTTTCTCCTGAAATTTTTAGGTAGTTTAAATCACATTACGAAGAAAATCTTCTGAAAAATTGAACGAAAAATATTCATAAGTGTTCCTGAAAATTCGTATTTAGTCAAAGGAAATTTGGCAACCAACGAAGGTTCTTACGGCGTTTTTCCTTAGCACGGCAGTACTGAGGTTGATTCAAGTCGAAGTTTCGGAGAATATTTTAACGCCATAATTATTTTCCTGACCTAAACACCTTTAACTGGGTGTACTGACACGTCTTGTTCCAATTCTGAAATTAAAAGAACACGCCGTCGTCGTATTGTGGCACCGTAACAATGAGTTTTTAATTAAATCGCTTGAATGCTCAGAGTTTGATTCTTCCATTTATTCTATTCAAAGAATCCACGTTTGTTTCGAATGTTTTCTGGGCATTCAAGTCTGAGGTTTATACAGACCTGAAAGGCGGAGACAAAACAATTACGCGGCAAATAAAAGACAACTAACTGAAACACGGAATTTGCGGCGTAAGCCAGTCACGTTTTGCCACAGTCTAATTTTCTCGGCACTTCGCTGAATTTTCAAACAATCACTTTCATTCACAGCTTTCCTTGATAGTCGGGCAAAAAACACGACTTGCACTACTGCGTTGAAAAATGTTCAAAATTGTGTGAGAGCATTCTTAAAAAATGCTCAGCTGTGGAAATTTTGAATTCTTGGTAGAAAGAAGTAGAATTTGTTTATTTCATAGTGCCTCATCAACTTCGGTCATTTATACCACTACAAGTCCAGATTTTTTCTTTATTTTTTTTCTTTTTAATGCGTAAATTGTATTCACGTCACAGACACGAGAAAGGGGGCATCATTGGATAGGAGGAAAGTTCGAGAGAGGAAATTGACACATTCAGGATTTTCACTGAAAATAATGGATTTTTTTTCTCTCTTTTTTTCATAATCTTTACTATATCAGCTATGAACGATGAGAGCAAAATATTGATGGACAGTATTTATAAACTTTCTGATTCAAGGCATAAGAGCAGGCATGGGTATTGGAGGGATTTTTATGGCATTCTCCCCGTAAAATGATGCGACATATTTGCAGAGAAAAACAATCCCGATCTGGATTGTGACAATGGAGACTATGCTTATATGCTAATTTAATTTAAAAATTTTTAAAAATCACTGAGTTTAGTCCGAGGACGATTCATCAGTCGAGCTATCAGCGACTTATACCTCCAAGACGAAAAAGCAAACACTTCGGAATCACTTCCTGTTAGTTTCTCTAAGCTAGCTAAACAACACCCACCCAGGCCCGCCACATGGGGGGGGGGATACTGGGTCCTTGGTACCGGGGCCCGGGCCCTGGAGGGGCCCGTGACGCAGGTGACAAACCACTGCGAAATCATGTGTAACCCTTGTCTCGTAGGGAAAAGTGAAAAAATTACCCTAAAAATTCCGCAAAAGGTGAATAAAGTTTCAAAAACACACTAGGGCACTATAAAATTTTTCTTACTTTTTTAGAGATTTTCAAGATTTTGAGTACATGTAGAATGATATTTTTAGTAACTGTGTTTCATTTTCTTCCGTTGTCGGATGCTAAGAGGCTCCTTTCTGGGCATCCTCGACTTCAATGGCTTAACTCCTTTGCCAAAGACGTACGAAAGGGGAGTCCAGGGGGGCCCGGCTCCCCATAGAATTGAAAATTATCATCTGCCCCCTCAAAAAAAAATTTATAGATGTTTTGAATGCAACAATTCGAAAGTTTTTGGTGCTGAAAGTAAACAAAAAGGCGTAATTATTCTGCAGAAATTGATGGAAAATCTCCATCGTAAGAGCTTCATAATGCGTCCTAATAGATTTTAAATTTCAAAAATTTCCCGGGGGAGGCCCCCCGGACCCCCCCCCTGTGCTAGGGGCCCGGGCCAGAAAATTGGTACCAGGGCCCGAGATGGAATGTGGCGGGCCTGCACCCACCAAATGTATTTTCAAATAATTAAAGAGCATCGGCTCCAAAAAGTTTTTCCGTTTTAAGCACTTTTTCCTCCTCGAATTCTGGTTTTTTTTTTTTTTTTTTTTTTTTTTTTTTTTTTTTTTTTTTTTTTTTTTTTTTTTAAATCTGATTGATTCAATTTCCCGGTATGATATCCCCACACTTGTCTGATCGTCCAATTTCCGAAGTTGCCCATTTTTCACCATTAAGTGCTAATACCTCCAAGATAGAAAATAAACAACTTTGAAAATACTTCTTCTCCGAAACATTACTATTGTCGAACAGCACGCACCAAAAATATGTTTAAATCATTAAAAATCATCGACATAAATCTCTTTTTTGGTGCTTTTTCACACTAAATCGACCCAAACGAAACCCTTAAGTTCTCAAAGGATAGCCGAACAACATGTACTAACTTTTCATTTATATCTTTGAAAATCATCGACTTCAAAAAATTTAAGAACATCGGCTCCAAAAAATTGTCCCATTTCTTAACACTTTTTCCTCATCAAATTAGGGTCGTTTAAAACTGAGCGATTCACTTTATCTGATAGGGTATTTCCGCGCGTGTCTGCTCGTTCAATTTCACAATCCGCTCTTTTTTCACGCTCAAGTGCTGATATCACAGGGACAGAAAGAAAGAGATTCAAGTCGCTTTCTGTCAGCTCCTTTATGGTAGCTGAACAATATGCACCCATCGACTCGAGTAGTTTTTTTTCAACATAATGCACTTTTCCCCTTAAAATCAACCCAAAGCAATGCCATTTATGAATTTAACGATTTAATTTAACTTAAGCTCTATTCCTACACCCGCCTAATCGTCCAAAATCCCGAAATGGTCATTTTGCAATCTACAGTAACAAAAGATGGGCGCTGGGTCTATTCTGCCGTGATAGCGAAGAGAGCAGTAAGTACAAAAATGAACTTTTCAGAAAATGGGCTCAGAAGCTTCTGATTGGAAAATTCTATTGAAAGAAGACTCTGTCTTTTGTCAATTTGGGACTGATCGTCCGAAAGAATGCTCCCAGAATTCGTTTGGGTGATAAAAAATCGACTGATTTTATTTCAATCACATTCATATAAAAAGGGCATTTTTCATTTTCATGTTAGGTTATTGTTTGGCAAGACAGATGTAAGTGCTATCTTTTGCATGCTTTCGTGGTTGCGTTTTGGACACACAACGAACGCATTTTCAGGTTAGAAATTCGCAGCAGAGGCTCTTCACTTGAAAGCAGTTTTCATTGGCTCTCTGGAGGAATATTGTCACTTACTGCTGTCTTGCCGAAAAGTACGTCATTTTTTGCGCACTTACGACTTTTTCATGTGTCTCGATCTTATACAATCAGAATGAATTTCGCTGTTTTAGGAATTTCAAAGATTTTATCGGAAAGAGTTCAGACGAATTTCGAAGGAAACTCGATTTCGAAAATTTGACACTTACTGCGCTCTTCGCTGTGGCGGCAGTATTATGGGGGACAAAAGGGGTGCACTGAAAAAAAAATTCTCGGCGTTTTTACCAACGTCCGTTGGTACCTTTACCATCTCACTTTTTTTACCAATTATTGGTAATTTTACCAAGACAGACTGGTAGGCTTACCTAAAAACCGGTATTTTTACTGTTTTCTTCAGGCAAGAATACCACTTTTATTGGTAATCAATTCGCGGTAACTTTGCCATTTTATCTCGGTAATTCTACCACGGTCGATAAAAAATATTGGTGTTTTTACCAAGGTCTAGTAAAACTACCGAGAAAGTTCAATAATTTTACCGAGATTTCTCGGTAAAATTACCAATTCCATAAATGGTAATTTTACCAAGAAACATCTAGGATCAAATAGAACCCTGAATTCTGGAAATTTTACCCTTTTCTTAGTAAACACACGAAGATTTTTTTTTTCAGTGTGTCTTGCCGAAAAGTACGTCATTTTTTGCGCACTCACGACTTCTTCATGTGTCTCGTTCTTATACAATTAAGATGAATTTCACTGTTTTAGGAATTTCAATGATTTCATCCGAACGAGTTTAGACGCATTTTGACGGAAACTCGATTTGGAAAATTCGACACTTACTGCACAGAAAAAAATAGATGGTGCTGACGACAGAACCTTTTGTTCACACGGCTCCCGCAGTTTCTTTGTTACAGTCACTGTAGCTTCCGTTATGAGGACAGAATACCCTGTTCCCACGACCAAACTTCTGTCCTCACAACAGAAAAATTCTATAAGTGTAAAAAAGACGCAGTGTCCCGCAGTGGGAGCCGTGTGAACAAAAGGTTCTGTCGTCAGCACCATCTGTTTTTTTTCTGTGTGCGCTCTTGGCTACTACGGGAGTATTATGGGGGACAAAAGGGGTGTCTTACCAGTTTCCGCATGGCGAAAAGGGATGACTGCACAAACTAAAGGTAATTTTGCTGTTTTAGGGATTTCAATGATTTCATCCGAACGAGTTCGGACGAATTTTGACGGAAACTCGATTTGGAAAATTCGACACTTACTGCGCTCTTGGCTATGACGGGAGTATTATGGGGGACAAAAGAGGTGTCTTACCAGTTTCCACATGGCGAAAAGGGATGACCGCACAAACTAAAGGTATCACTGAATGCGTTTTCCACTGCACTGGCACTGACACGGGCGGGTTGCGGGCGGTCCGCGTTTACGTTTGCAATCGCACGAATAATGCCCCCGCGTGAGTGAGTCAAATGGAGTGAAAGTCTATTACTCTACTATTACTATTGCTCGCGGGAGAGGGTGCCCCTGTGCCATGTCCCATGTACTCTCTGCCATGTGCCCACTATCATTTACCTTCGTCCGATATTATTATGCAATCTTTATTTGTTTTCCCGTCGTTGCCGCGCTCGCCGGCTTTTCCGGATTTTCCGCCAACCTCCGGAGGAAAACGAAGAAGTTAAAGAAACGGCTACCGTTTCTTTAATTCAAACTTATCGATAACATTACGACGCTTTTTTTGACTCAAAAAAACTTTTAAAAAAACTCGAAAAAGCTCAAACAACTTTTTTTGGAAAGGAACGACGCTCTAAATCAAAATATCTCAAGAAAAACTATTTCTAGTGTACCTCTTTTTCTTGTAATGCTACCTTAATGGAGATGTTGCTTGCGTGAGGAATTTGTGATTTGACTGTTGATTCTTATGTAAAAGTTCGCGAGAAACACGATGGTGCCACTTGTTTTCTCTGAAATCAACTCCCAAGCTCAAAAAAAGCTCTCAAGTTGAGGCTAAAATGGAGGGGATACCCCACGCTATCCTGAGAGTCCACCTCTACATCAAGACCAACTCTCCATGCAAAGATAGGGAGCAAATACATTAGCAGTGTGCTCCCTATCTTTGCATGGAGAGTTTATTTTAATGTAGAGGTGGACAAATAAAAATTCACCCTATCTTTTCAATACAATTGGGGAGGGGGGAGGGCAATTTTCTTTTGGAAAATAACTTTATTGTACAGAACGGAATGGAGATGTTGCATGTGTGAGGAATTTGCGATTTGACTAATGATTCTTTTGTAAAAGTTTGCGAGAAACACGATGGTGCCACTGGTTTTCTCTGAAATCAACTCCCAAGCTCAAAAAAAGCTCTCAAGTTGGGGCCAAAACGGAGGAGATAACCCACGCTATCCTGAGAGTCCTCCTCTACATCAAGACGAACTCTCCATGCAAAGATAGGGAGCGAATACTGAAACACATTAGCAGTGATGCAGTGTTTTCAGTTTTAGAGTCCCCAAATAAAGCGGCAGCCCTGTCAATGTATTTGCTCCCTATCTTTACATGGAGTGTTTGTCTTGATGTATAGGTGGACTCTCAGGATAGCGTGGGATATCCCCTCCAGTTTGGCCTCAACTTGAGAGCTTTCTTTGAGCTTGGGAGTTGATTTCAGAGAAAACCAGTGGCACCATCGTGTTTCTCGCGAACTTTTACATAATAATTAAAAGTCAAGTCGCAAATTCCTCACACATGTAACATCTCCATTAAGGTAACATTACAATAAAAAGAGGTACACCAGAAATAGTTTTTCTTGAGATATTTTGATTTAGAGCGTCGTTTCTTTCCAAAAAAAGTTGATTGAGCTTTTTTGAGTTTTTTTTAAAAGTTGTTTTGAGTCGTAAAGCGTCGTAATGTTATCGATAAGTTTGAATTAAAGAAACGGTAGCCGTTTCTTTAACTAAAAAAACTGACTTTAAGTTTAATCCACAAAGATTCGACTAATAAAACTGAATTTCGTCGGCGTAAAACGACGCTGTCAGACAAAATAATATCTCAAGAAATTTTACTTTCAGTGTAGAACGTAGGAAACACGACTAAAGTGGTGAAAAATAGCACCGATACGCCTCGGCCAACCACCTGATCACACCTTCAATCAAAGTAAAGAAGAAACACAAGTGTAACACTAGAGAAAAAATCTGCATGATCTGGGATCAGATAAATGAATTCTGGTTAACACGAAAAAGAAGGAGAAGAGAGTGTCTAATAACAAAGTTTTAACAAGATTCAGTTATACGCAAATTTATTATTTCTAGACGCGTTTCGGGGGTCTACTCTCGTCTACTGCGTTTGCCAGCGTTTGCTGGGTCGTGGGCGATGATAAGTGCAAAGCCGCCAAAATACATCCGAAGAAATAACAATTTTGTGCGAGTGAATTGTAAAAATGTTGTAATTCATTTACATCTTGTGCGTTCCTAGTAAAAAAAAAACTGGCTTATAGAGAGCGATGGTTCATTTTACCTAGGCTCCTATTGACTTGCAGCGGCGCTGTTTTGACTTAAAAAAAATTGATAGATTTAATAATCGATTTTAAGCATTATCTCGACTGGGACTTTTTAGCGCGTGTGTCACACAAATGCGGGTCCTTGTGAGGGCAAAACGCCTTCAACTTTTGTGTGGGCAACACGGGCAGCTCTTGAACGCACGGAAAGTTGCATCCAGGCGCTAGTCGAGGTAGTGACTTGGCTAATGTTTCTGGCGTCACGAAGGAACGAGTCGCCATGAGGGTAAAAACAAAAACAGAAAAGGCAAAACCCCTTCAATTGTTTCGTAGGCAACACGGGCATCTCAAGAACGCGAATAGTTGCATCCAGTAAAGTTAGTGACTTATGATGTTGGCTTGTTGGATGTTGGATATCGTTGCATGAAGCTGTTTCTATTCGTAAATGGAACTTTCTTTTTCTTTTTCTTTTTTTTCTGAATGAAATTAATAACCGCGGATTTTTGAGTATGAATTTTGGTTTGCAATCAATGGTTGATTTTATAAGGGTTTTTAAGAGTAACAATGTTCATATCTGGTTCATATCCGGAACCACTCCGCGGTCCATATTTCCCATTCCACGGTCCATATTCCCGTTCCCCGTTTCCGCCTCCGATTCACTCGCCTCCCCGCCCGCGACTTCCGCCACGCCGCACAACGGATAGAGTCAATTTGAGTGGTCGGACGTGGAATTTTTGGCTGAAATTTCAAATTTTGATATTTGTTTCGTTACAAGTTCAATGGGGATGTTGCATGCGTAAGGAATTTGCGATTTGACCATTGATTCTGTTGTAAAAGTTCGCGAGAAACACGATGGTGCCACTGGTTTTCTCTGAAATCATCTCCCAATCTCATAAAAAGCTCTCGAAGTGAGGCCAAAATGGAGGGGATATCCCACCCTACCCGGAGAGTCTACCTCTACATCAAAACAAACTCTCCATGCAAAGATAGGGAGCAAATACATTAGCAGTGTTGCCGTGTTTACAGTTTTGAAGTCCCCTCAAATAAAGTGGCAGCCCTGCCAATGTATTTGCTCCCTATCTGTGCATGGAGAGTTTGTTTTGATGTAGAGGTGGACTCTCAGGGTAGGGTGGGATATCCCCTCCATTTTGGCCTCACTTTGAGAGCTTTTTTGAGCTTGGGAGATGATTTCAGAGAAAACCAGTGGCACCATCGTGTTTCTCGTGACCTTTTACCCAAGATTCAACAGTCAAATCGCAAATTCCTCACACATGCAACATCTCCATTTCAAGCGGTGTTTCTGAGAGGCAATTGTATGACAAAACCAATTAAAACACTTTTAAAATGTTTTGTTCCATATTTTCGAAAATATAAACTTTCAAAGTTTCCAAATTTTGTCCGACTTGTCCTGTTGACTCGGACCAGTGTGCGTCGCACGACGGATCGAGCCAATTCGAGTGGTCGGACATGAAATTGTTGACTAAATCTGCAAATTTTGATGTTTATTTCGCCGCATTTTAATTTTCTAGGGGTGCCTAAAGAGCAAATTTTCGCGAGGAAACCAATGAAAACACTTTTAGAACCTCAGATTTTGTATGAAATCGAAGGGATCGAGTCAATCGGAGAGGTCGGACATAAAATTTTTGACAAAAACTGCAAATTTTTATCTTTATTTTATCACTTTTTCAATTTAGAGGGGTGCTTCGGGCAGCAGATCTCAAGAGGAAACAAATTTGACCACTTTTAGAACCTCAAAGTTTTGTATAATCGGAGTTAGAAGCTCGTAAAGTTTCCCAATTTTAACCTCGAGTTTGAAAACTTCAAACGCTTATAACTCAGTTTGTACAAAATTGTATAGTTTCACAAGTGGTTTAATTGGTTTTCTCGTAAAATTTAATTCAAGAAGCACCCCTTAAAGTTTAAAATGTGACTAAATAAACATAAACATTCGCAGTTTTAGTCAACAATTTCATGTCCGACTTCTCTGATTGACTCGATGCACCGTGCGGCGAGCCTTGAAACCCAGAAAAAGACCTGAAGATGGAATAATAATTCCAAAATGGACGTATTTCGTCGTTTTCCTCACGAAAGAATAACGTAACTACATTTAAATGTTGCCAAATTTCCCTTCGTAAATTGCACTTTAAAAAGAAAAATCTTGGGCATTTCTAACTGAAAATTTCACTGATTTTTCTTCCGATTTCATGCAAAAATCAGACAAATTTTGATTAAACTTGCACACTCACATTTTTGTAAAGAAATTAATTGTATTTGAATCAATTCGGCAACCTTGGATTGGAGTTAAGTTCCTTCGTTCGGGAGACGACGATTTGTGCTAAAAGGAACTATGTGCATAGGGTTTATAGTTCCTTTTAGCATAAATACGTTCAAATGACCATCGTTACGCGCGTGGGAAGTTCAAAAAGTTCAAAAAGTTCAAAACGAGATCAAGATACAAAGGCATACTATATCAAATTTAAATATGCCCTTATGAAGGAAGGCTGCTTAAGTTATCAAAAAGGTACCCTTTTTCGAGCATTAAAGCGAACTTGGGTTCACACGCGAGTTTGATCTCAATTTTCCCTAATGAGAACTTTTTCATGTGAAACAGAACTCAGGGGCGTGGTCATCCAAGGCGATGAAATACGAATCTTTCAACAGCATACATATTGATATAGTGTGGAGCTCCGGGGGAACAAGGAAAGTCCGTACAACCCTTGCGCTCACACACTCTCTGACGTGTGTGGACAGCCTTGAAATGCCCGACGGAAAGATTGCCTTCAAATTACGAGCATGCAACCCGCCGACAGCCATGTTTGAATAGTTGCCGCTTGAACTGGAAGGAAACTTTCGAAGCACGCCCCATTTTCGTCGATACGGGTGACTCTTGCTGGTCGGAAATACCGTGTTTCCTCCATCTAAATGTATGCAAAACATTCGATTCAAAGAGGATCCAGTGTTGCCAACTTGTAAGAATCGCCATCTTTCACTGGGAAAAAAAACACATTGGATCTAGAGTCCAGACTCTTAAAAACATCGGCAAGAAAAAATACTCTTGATTCA